GCTTCCATCGTCATAGAGATCAAACTTCACAAAATCTTCCATGAAGATTGAAATCATAATCATAATTTGATTTTTTTTTATTCTTTTTTTATTTTTTTTTTCATTGAGTAAACTAGGAAATTGGTTTATTTTTCTATTGGATCAGAGTTGTTTAGTATGTTACCATGTAGCAACTTATGTTATGCAAAATAACCTCTAAATTAATCATATTTATTTAAATATGAGATGAATAAAATTGGTTTCGTGTCATATGCTTTCACTTTGTAGGAACTCGCCCCGAGTTCATATAATTAAGATATAAATTGATCTTGATGATATAATATCTATGCTAAATCAAAAGCTTGTTACCGATATGATGTATGAGGAGAGTGATAAAAAAAAATTTAATTGAGAAACATAAAAGAAAGGAATAAAAGATAGTAATTAAAAGATATTAAGAAAATAAAATGATAACTACCAGACTCATTTTAGCTCAGAAGAATACTCCGAAGATGAAAGCCTCGGATCTCCACTCGTCTCAAATGTAGATGATGGAATCATGCCATTAGAAAATAAATGTGATCTCGCACCACTCTTAATATGGGAAAAGAACTCAGCTCATTGATCCATTTCTGATTGATTTGTATTATAATGTGTTAGGAACAAGTCGACACTGAGAGGGGGGGGGGGGTGAATTAGTGTAGTGAAAAAATTACGTCGATTTAAAAACTTTCATTCGATTAAAACTAATTTCGACGAAAGCTACTTCGGAAAGATGTTAACTTTAAAATCGTATTCATAAGCATAGTGAAAGTAAAGAAAGTAAAACAGTTTGCAGTAAGGGAAAATAGCAAGAACAGAAATGCAAACCATTTGATAGTGGTTCGGTCGTCGTGATCTACATCCACTTCGTCGATTCCCCTTCTGTCGAGGTCATCGACATCCACTAATGATCTTCTTTCAACGAGCGAAGATCAACTGCCCTTTTACACCCCTCTTCTCATTTTCACAAGTTTATGAGTTAATCTTTTACAACCACTCACTCCTCTCTAAACAGAATTCTAAACTTCGAATTAGACGAGGGATTCTCTCAAGTGATTTCTATATAGTTTTCTCACTTTTAAGCTCTCTGTGCTTCTTTTAACTAGAGATGAGAGAGGTATTTATAGGCCTCAAGTTGATTCAAATTTGGAGCCTAAAAATGTCTCATCTCGGATTTCCTGGGTACAGGCGGTACCACCGCCTGTGTTGGGTGGTACCACCGCAAATGTCAGTTTGACACTAATATTGCACTGGGCGGTACCACCTCCTGACATTCCAGCGAGCTTCCGACGAACTTTCGACGATCTCTCGACAATGTTCCAGCGGACTCTTAGCAAGCTCTTGGACTTCACAACGATCTTATTAGTGAGTTCCAATGAGCTTCTTTTGCAAGCTCTTGGACTTCTCAGTTGGTTCCGATAGAACTTCCGATGAAGGTCCAAATTTCCGACGAAGATCCAAATTTCCGACGAACTCTCGAACTTCCAACGAAATCTCGTTCTCGACTCCGGGACTTCATTTTGCTTTATGCCTTACTATCGTAGTTAATCCTGTATACATAAAACAAACTTCGATCTAGATAATTATTACTAAGCATGAATCATGTTGTCCGGCATGTCATTGGTCTATCGACACTTCGTCCGATTCTTCGGTGCATCGTCCTCTCTTGTGGCCTATTGCCCAATCGATCAATTGACCTCCACAACTCCGATATCCTTAGCATAATATCTGTTCTTCTTGGCCCAAAACCTTCTGTCGATACATCGATCGATCCTCCGACGCGACATCCAATCTTATATAGAGATCAATTCTATTAGGATTTGAAATCTTCAATCATAATCATAATTTGATTTTATAAAATTATTTTTATATTTTCTTCTTTCTTGAGTAAAATAGAAAACTAGATTAGATTTATTCAGATATTATCATTAGAATTCCTAATGCAAATTAGACTCGAATTAAGTTGGATGGCCAACTCACTGGAAGGCAACCACTGTCATCAGATGATAACACTTTATTTATTATAAAAAAAATATTTTAAAATTTCAAGAATATGTAAATCTTTATAATTATAATGATGAAAAAGAATAAAGTTCCTTACTTATTTTACGATATTATCGGCATAATTTATGTTTTAATGTAATATATAATTATATTTTTATTTTTAAAAATATTAAACTTGTGTTCCAATTATTCGATCCATCGGTTCAATAAATGATCCAGTGAACCCGTGATTTGACTAGATAAATATCCGGTTCGATTCTAATAAATATGAACTTAGTATGCAAGGTTTACCTAATAAGCTTAGTTTACCGATGTGAATGTTCAATGAGCAGGAATAGGCGATGAACTATTTACGTTTCCCTCTTCCATCATCCTTCTTCTTAGGTTAATGGAGGAGAAGCAAAGCGACGTAAAGTTATGGAGTAGCAAGTCTGCCTCGCCTTCCCCACTTCACACTCTTTATCCACCGTCTTAATGAAAGAGTGGGGTTGATCACCTGCGATGGTCTCCCTCCACCCAACCAGGCGGCGCAGGGCGATCGATGAGAAGTACCTGCATGAGAATGACGTCCAACATATTCTTCACATCTCATGATTGCTCTGCACTCCCAAGTCTTCCTTCAGATAGCCATCTCTTTCTTCTTCCTCTTTCCTTTGGAGCTATCCAAGTACATGAGGTCGATGGAATGGAGACGGCCACTACAGCTCTACACTCGAGTGGATTTCTCTTTTGGTTCCAGAAAAGAAGGTGGAGTTCAGACTTGAGTGATTCACGAGCAATGATGATGATGAGGAGGACGGATGATCCCAAGTGTCAAATGTAGAGTTAGTGGAGGCGAAAAGGCGAGGATGGTGATGTGTCTCGCAGCAGAATTCAAACAAGTTTAGTGACTAGAGACCGAGGGTGCGAAGCTTCCAGGAACTGTGCTCTTAGGTGCAGTGCCATTGATCGTGATCCAAGTGAACTTTATGTGGCATGGTACCTACCATGCCTTGGATTTCTTTCCTAATATGGTCCCCTGCAGATGCCATTGTCAAAAGCTCAAGTTGCTGCGGTTGATGTCGAGGGCACACTTGTTCATACCAAGGGTTTATCCATCGTCCTTATGATTCTGTGAGATGAGAGAGTGGTATTTAGTCCATCCATTATGGCCTTAGCAGTGTTCAAAGGCCAACTAAAGTGCTCAAGTTGTGCTTGATATGAAGAATATGGATAGATGTGAGTTAGTGAGGCCTACTGTGGCTTATTCCTGGAGAGGGTATATAGAAAGATATGAACAAGCTTTTCTTTAGATTGTGTTCACTTTCATGGCATCTTTCGAACTGGATCAACTAGTATCAAGGGAAGGATTTTGTTTCATGTCCTCCTCAAGATCAACACAGATGTTACAGTTTCCAACGTGGCCATTAATCCTTCTTGTTTTTGTACAGAATATGTACTGAAATATAAATATGGTTAGTCGGAAGCTCTCCAGTGGAGAATGGAATGGTTCCTGTCTCTGTGAAGAACAGTGAGAGGATTAGAAATGGAAGAAATGTAGCACGGTTGACTAGAAGCAACAAAGAAGGTCAATGAAAAAGTAGCAGAAAAGTGGAGTTCAGAAAACTAAAAGGAGTAGTGTTGACTTTTGAGCTTGTGTTGGAGAAAAAAAGCATCTTGTATTCTGATGATGTTGTCAATTCCACAGCTTAAGTTAGACATCAGTGAGAGAGACACACACATTGGTGGATAAGTTTCGTGCAAATAGTGAGGTAGTCATGTTCAGTTTATCCAAAGTGCTATATGGTTACATGAAGCACAGTTCAAGTTGGCTTTTGGTGCCATGGATATAGTGAGGCACACTGTCACTTGAACCTGAAGACACACAGGTGAAAAACTTTTTCTGTAGATGGTCTTAATGTAGTAATTTTGCAGTAAGTGGTCAGCTGCAGGTGCCATACCACTACAAAGACTGAGACATGTCTATTTGGATAGTATTGGCTTTTCCAACTAGCTTTTAGATAGGAAAAGCTAGGACTAGTTCTAGGATCCTGTTGCAGGAAATGCCACTTTTGGGGTTACTATGATTGGTGAAAAATATCTGCAAAAAGCCAACAGTGATGAGGGAGCCAAGTGAGTTGAAAAGGATGGATCAAAATAGAAACACAACCTTGTATTTGTAGATTTTATATTTGGGCTGAGAAGAGGGAAGAAAGAGGAACTACTTTGCATTGAAATTGGTGCATGAAGATAGTAGTTTGCCTAGATAAAAACTTGCATGATTCCCAGTGATGCCTTTTTCCCTTATTTATTATCATTTAAAAATCACACACTAGATGCAAATATTGACTTTGGACATTATTGATGGCCTTGAGATGGTGCACTTGACATGACCAAACATCATCCCTGGAACCCAAAAAAATTACTGGTTCTTCATGAATACTATTTGAGTCCTTCAATTGTAACTATTAAAGTGTAGAAATTTGATTCTCACAAGTGGTCTCAGTAGATTGAAGAAACCGAAAAAAACAATTAGGTTTCATATTAGTATGGGGTTTCCTTGGTCTATGTTGTACAACAAAGAAGTGAATGCATCACAAGTATTTTATGTCTAACAGTAATTATATAACCAGAGGGAAAAGAAAAGAAAACTATAGCTAAATTATATGAGAATTAATTATATAACACTAATCATTTTGAAGCAGGTGACAGATTAATGGAACTAATTGATCAAATTGCTTTAACATACTCCACAAAATTTCTCTCGAAATCCCACAATGGCAAATTTAAGATGAACAGAATGTAAGGACCAAGATGTTACAGTTGCTCAAAATAAATATAGCAATTAATCACTACAGGATCCTCCAAGATTTACTATGCATTCTGGTTATTGAATTCTTGGTAAGGCGATTAAAGATTTTTTTTCTTTCTAAAGCATCACAAGAACATTGGGACATTTTAAGCAAGAAACATGAGATGGAATAACTTGTACAAAGTTGGCTAAATTCGCCCAAGCATTCAAATTTACATTGCAGTTTCATGTTTAAATTGGACTCAGACTGTCCTCAATATACAACGATATCTTTGTAATATGAACTTCATTTGTAGGTTCACAACTGAAGTATCTGCATAAAAATAACTTGATCAAACTTGGATAAGAAGCATCAAGCAGTCGCTGCAAAACTGAATGAAACTAAAAGGATGGTCGAAAACTGATGAAGTGGAATCCTTGGGATTACCAACTTGGATAAGAGGTCATACACAAGTCAGGGACTGCGGCTGGCAGATGCAACAGAAACCTGTTCTCACCATACTGTGACAAAAAGAATGAATTCATTGGGAAACTGTTCTCAGGACCTCACTTCGTATTCTCCAGCTTGAGTGAGGGCTCGGAAACCTTTGTAAGGTTGGCTTGGTGCATTTTTTATATCCAATTTATGTATTTGCAAGCCTGAGAGTGCAACCCCCATAATCTTGAATCCAACTTGGAAAACAGGGAAAACATGCAATCTATCCAGACCTGTCTCAAGAACTAAATTTCCTGACAGGGATGGGGATTTGTCTTTGGGTATTTGTCCAATTGACCAACTGCATGTCTGCAAAAGAAAAAAAAAAGAACATAAGCCCAGAGAACAGAGCCAAGATATATACACATTTAAATTATCAGGGGCACTAACTAGAAATTTTATTGATACTGGAATGTTTCATCCATGTCCTAATACATCTAAAATGAAAGTTAGAAAGGATATTTTGATACGTATTACATAAATAATAAGTCTCATGATGACATTGGTGATGCAGCCAATGTCATGCCGGTTTTCCTTTCTGCTCTTAAAAAAAAGCCCAACAATAAACAAGAGAGCCCACCTAATTATCAAATATATTGGTCTGTGAGGGTCATTAACTAACCTTGTCAGCCAGAATGTTAACTGTACCATGGTTTGAGGTTAAGTTTGCTGATGCAACACAAAATGGCAGCTGAAATTGTACTGTTATAGAGTCGATTGTCTTTCCAGGATCATTGCGTACTCCAACCAAAACATTAATATGGCAATTCCCAGTATCTGAAGTCAACTGTGGCTTCACATAGATTGGTGTGCTCTTCAGCTTTTTAACCCTGTTCAGTGACATAAACCACCAGAACTGATATAAGGAGGAAGCCAAGTGAAAAGGTAACATAGAAAGAGAAATGCATAAATAGACAATCTCCGGAAAACAGAAAATAAAACCTGTAAGTCATCAGCTTAAATTCCCCATCAGGAGGCACAAAAGAAAGGATTTGATCTGATTCCCAAGGCCGAAAGCGAACACATGGATGGAATCTCATGTCATTTAAGATTGAAGGGTTTGAAAATGACAAAGTCAAATCAGGAAGACCCGGGAGATGAGAATCTACTTGAACTTCACCATATATCTCGCATTTCACCAAGGCACCATCTCTGAAATTGAAGTAGTTAATTTTATGAAACCAAAACAAAATTGAGGGAAAAATAGTTAAAGGCAGCCGAACTATGATTTTCTGGAACAGCATATCAACTGCATGGTAGCTGATGGGTACTGATAAAATATATGTGACTACAGGATATCAGCAGCTATGTGTGCATCAATTGTGCAGATAAAAATATAATTATGTCATGGATATCTAGATTTTAAGAGCACTGCATGAGAAAAAAGGATAATGTAGTAACTTTGCCTATAGTCTTGATGAACATTCAATAAGAGTTGATAATCATATTGTAAATTGTGATCAGACTTGACTTTTAAAACATTGCCTAAAAGCATATTATATATAATTAAGTGAAACCTGAGTTTCAAAATATGCAGACAGTCAACTTTTAACTCAGATGGCAACTTCTCAATTTCTACTTGTCTGTCACATATATATGGTAACCTTACAAGATAATCCATTTCACCCCTGCTTTTGTTTATATTAATTTGAAGGAATAGAGACTCTAAATTTTCCACAACATTTTCACATAAAGGGCGAAACAAAGGGTCTTTTGACAACAACAACAAGAATAACAAGCTGTAAGGTCCCGACCATCTGATTCTGGCTGCATATTTTCTTAGATACTAGTCTCCACTCTCCCACAATAGCATCAGGACTTCAAGTTCAGAGCTACGTTAGGTATGTCACTCATGGAAGTTATATACTTAATTACTGATCACTTATACCTAATAAATCACAAATATAGGTTAAGAGTTCATATCACATGAAGAGAACATTCCTCTTAAACACACAGAACGTTGCACATGTCCTCTGACTAGGAGAAAGCAAATACTAGGGTTCCTGAAGAAAACAAAAGAAATTACTGTTGGTTAAGCTGAATGCAACAGCTGGACACAACATAATTGAAATAAATGGTCAAGAGAAAAAAACTATAAGTTTTCTTAACCTTGAAACAGTATTCATCAATAAGAAAAACTGAAGAGAATATTTGTTATAAAGAGAACTCAGATTGGTCAAGTGAATTTGACAATGATAGCCAGGTTAAAAGCTCTAAGTCTAAAAAGTATAAACCATTAGAATAATAGTGCAATTCAAAATAATTATGTTCTTATAAATGAATGGTAATACAAGAAATACAAATAAAAAAGAACTCCAACAGAAAAGTAGGATGTATTACGACTGATGATAAGGGTAAATGTTCTCTTTTTACAATGGTCCAAATGATTTGGAAATGAAAAACACAAAATTTAGGTGTTGCCAAGAGCTGGAGGGAATGCATATCATAATGTCCAACTTGGAAATTCCACACTCCCCCACCAAAAAAAATTAATAGGGATATGTACATCAAAAAAATATATCATACAAAAATTAGTAAGGTATACATCAAAACCAATTTGTTTAAAATCAATATGAAACATCTAATTGAAATATAAAAAAGGTAATACTGAAAAGGAGTATCTTGTATCTCATGAACACAATTGTGTGGGTGTCGATACCAGTATGCATTTGAGATAAGGTATCCATTAAAACCAGTTTAAAATCAATATGAAATATCTAACTGAAATATAAACAAGATAATAATGCAAAAGGAGCATCTTGTATCTCATGAACACTATTGTGGGAATGTCGATATCAATGTTCATTCAAGCATCAAATATAGAAAGATAAATAGAATGAATATGAGGAAACTAGTATTGCAAATATTATAACTATAAGAAATTGCAATACAAAATTAATGTGTACGAGAAAATAGTAAAAAAAATACTAATTTTAACTTTATAAATAAAAAAATTAAAAGAAAATGTAGTACTTATAGTAGATTAGTAGTCACTGGCTTGGGGAGACCCTCGTTCTCCCTCCCCTCTTCTCTCTAATCAAAAGCATCAGCAGTGATGCAAGGGCCATATAAGCAGTACAGTGGCAGGTTCCCCTTCTCTTTCTTCCTTCATCCCTCATCCTAGACACTTCGTCATTTATGTGTCTATCAGACTCGAACACAAGTCATGTGGGCGTACAGATACATCTTATATGCATCAGGGCATCAGCACAAGGACAAGTCCTGGACAAAACCTACCCAGCTAACACCAAAAATTGCTAGGAGAACCCTACTATATTACCTGAAAACAACCAACATGATGCTCTAATTAGCTTGGCCTGAACTAATAATAATTGATGATAAATGGATATATTAAAAGATAATATGACAATACTGTAGTAATAGTAACTGATTTTTAAGTTGTAAATATGAAATAGTAATCAATTCCAATTATTCAATGATAAATGCCTCAGGTGGAAATGTAGAGAAAGACCTGAGACCAAAGAATGCACTAATGACAAGTAAAACTTAGGACACATATATAGATGCCAAGAACACAAGATATGAACAAATCCAATGAGATTAAGTTAAAATTATTCGTAGCATATGTTGAAAGTCCAAGATATAAGCATAAAAAAGAATGATGCATAAGAGATGGACTCTGGAAAAAAACCTGCTAAAGACTGCATCAATCTCCTCAACAAGGTTAACATAAACTTCATTGCTTGCATGCTTCATGTTAGTTTTTCTCCAAGGAATACAAGATGCTGTGGCATCAGGAAGTCTGGTGCTGACATTGGAATTTTTACCAGTCACAACACTCAACATTTTGCTAACAATATTTGGCGGGGTTATCATCTCCCTCAAGATATTTGGTTCTGTTGTCAGCGGAAAACCATTGTCCATCATTTCATCCAAAAGCTGCAATAAGAGCAAAGACCTTATTATTGCACAAAACTAGCATTCCTATTAGCAAATTTTATTCGATCATAAGTTTCTGAACAGAAACCAATCAGTGTCATATATACTTAACTGTTCTATAATTTCTTTAAATTCAGATTGCTACAAACCCTCATAGAAGTTTAAAATCTTAAAAGAGCTAACAAAGTAAATAAGTCCAAATCAAGTAATATTTCTCAACAAAAATTATATTGCCCTCACAGCATAAGAAGACCCATTCAAGGCATGATTTGATGGTTAAAATGTCTCCAAAGGTTGCAATGCAAGCAAAATATATTTTGGTTTTTACCTCTTCATTACAATATCAAATTGGAAAAGAGTTCAATTTGATTTCTTTTCTGTCACTTTGCCATTTAGTCTTTGACAAGGACAAGTACTACTAACATTTTGGTAATGCTCCTGAAACATTCATCATTAATTAAATGAAATGATTCATGAAAAATCTTTGATTAGAGACAAAGGTTCATCTGAACTAACAGGTACTCAGCATACCCAAATTGGAAAATCAAAAATGATATAATGCTGCTTGGTTGTAATTATCTACAAGAAAAAATTGCAAACTTGAGAATTTTGCAATATATCTATTTCTCATCATGAGATGAAGCAAATCATTCTCATCTTAGCAATCTGATTAAAACCATCCAGTGGGCAAGATAGACTACACCAAGACCACGACTAAACAAGCACCAAGGTTTTGAATATCGATCCGTACTGGCATACCAAGCTCTGCTCGGTACGTACCGGTATGTACCATCGGTAAACCCTAAAACCTTAAAAACACCTTCACCTACCATACCAAGACGTACCGATCGGTACGCCTCAGTAACGATCGAAATCTGGGATGGTACCAGTCGGTGTGCCTCGATACCGATCAAAGCACTGGGATCGCCCGGTAGAGGGTGGTCCGCGTACTGATATCCTCTCCAACTGATACGTACCGCCCGTACTGAGCAGTACATATCGAAATTAAGAACCCTGACAAGCACTAAGGCTTCTTTTTCCTTTTTTTTTCAAATTTTGCTTTTAGAATATCCTTAGGGATAGAAGCTATATATCATGTACATTCACCTGACCTTGATTACAATCCACATTCCCATGGTGTACATCATGTGCAAAAGCCTATTGGTAACATCATGTGCATCTATACCTCATACTGAGGATAATATTAATAACATACTTAAAAGAAACTCATGAAAAATCTAATGCATGTGCATTTGACATTAGATTTTTTTTTTTCTTGTAGTTTGAAAGAGATGAAAATTATTATGTATTAAATGAACACTGCTCTTTATGCTTAACAACTACAAGTACTACCAATGAGACAAGTGTAGATAGAAAGACAGAAAATGAGAATTTTATTCTCCTAATTTTGCCTTATTGGTATCGCAACCCACATAAGTAGCCCAGTTCTCGAGTTCATTAGAACTATTATTTTTCCAAAGAGCTCAAATTGTTCAAATGACAGATTTGAAGCATTCCAGAGCTTCGCTCTATAAAGAGAAGCTTTAATCAAATATGTGAACTGTAGTGGCAAAACAAAGGAACTTCAGGTACATACCTCATATACAATTATGAAATTGTCTTTAATCAAGTCCTCATTTAATCCTCCTAGATAATCAGTCAGAACATCTGCGACTCTGCAAAGGAACTGCAAAAGTGAAAAATCATGCTCTTGTAAATTAGAACACGTTCCTCGACATTAAGTAATGAAAAGCATCATGAAAGTACCCACACAACCATTAAATGGATATTTACAGCCTTGTCCAAATGCCACAAGACTCATAGATTTGGTGGTCTAGGCTGGGATATATAATTTTCAAATCTTGGATTCCTCTTAGCAGCATATAATTTTCAAATATCATGAAAATCTCAATGCATACTATCATACAAACATACATCAAAATCCATTCTGTCATAATGCTTGTTGCACTACTGCCTTAGGCTCATTTCACATTCACGTTTGTGCTCTGTATGTTGCTACAGTCAGCATGTCATTCAAATCAAAACAATTGACATGTTGTGTCTACTATGCCATTCCATGTGGGTCAGGATCCTACCATATGTTTGAGATTGCAAAAGAATTTCCTTTTTCCCTTTACAGGTTTTTTTTTCAAAGTGATTAAAAGATTAAAAGAAACAAGAACTATGAACTGGGAATAGATTCTTTGAGGCATAGGTTTACAACTTCAAGAATGATAAGATCTCAAGAATCGTGATAGGCACATCAAATGGCATACTGATATAAGGGTCTCATACAAATCAGGCCATTACATAGTAACCTGCAAATGATGTTCATATCATGCTTGCATCAATTATTTTGTCACCCGATGTTAACATATGGTGAACTTACCAGAAGGGGAAGCATAGAATAAAGCATACTATTTTGAGATCGCACAGTACCATTTTAGAGGCTATTACCATTTTAGAAGCAACACACAGGTATCTCTCACAGCTCAAGGGCATAAGGTAGAAAAATGATTATAATATTATAAAATAAAATAAAAACAGAAGCCAAAACATAAACACAGAGTACTATCCTCACAAGTTAAGTCCGGACATAAATCCATATGACAGCTTTCCAACTTAAACTACAGTAGCATAAAGCTTGTTATGCTTTCTCCATTTTCAGCTCTACTAGGTATCTTGCAACCAATGCACAAGCTTCATTCATTCTAGTTGACACTCCAGCCTGATCCTTTTACAACTCAATCATGGAAAGAGAGAACAATAAATAAGAAAAGAACAACTAGTCTTGTCTGGTGAAATACATCGCTTTTCAAACCTAAGTATTATTTATTGTCAAAGAAGTCAACACTTTTCAAAAATTGCAAGTATCTGCTTCATACAACAACACAATCTTGCAATTTGTCTTTTCTAGCAGTACAAAAAAAATGTAATGTATAAATTGTGAAACATTTAATTGAAAAAAGGAATTAAGAGCTGACCTCGATACCCATAAGTGGTGGCATCTCGACCTGCGTGCATGCCAAGAATATGATTCCATCACGAAAGAGTTGGAACAGATAATGTGTCGGGGATGCAATCACAGGTAAAATCTAACCCATCACAGGACAAACAACAGAATGAAAATCAGTATATATCAACCATCATTAAAATGGCAGCTGGCATATGGATTTCTAAAGAATTCAAGAACAAAAGACTCAGTTTTTGATCAACCAAACACCTACAGATTGAATCTTTCTAAAGTCTAACATACTAAAGTGGGCGTGTTTTACCTTGGAGGGATCACCGCCTTGGGAGAGGACATAATCCCAGAACCAAGCGCAAATGGATCGATCCACGCGGTGCCCCGTCATCTGCTTCTCGAGCATGACCTCCCTGCAAAGATCCAGCTGAACAAGATCAGTTGCGAAATTACAGCCAAAGAAAAAAAAGAACATATTACAAGTAATTCAAAGGTCGAAGAGAAACTAGGGCTTCTGGGGCAAAGGGAAGGAAGGGGAGTGGAGATCGCAGAGGTCATTACCCGGAATCCGACAGGAAGAATATACACTGAAGCATCTTCAATCTCTCGACTCCGATCTCTAAAGTCGAGGAGGAGGAAAGGAGAGAAGAGGGGGTGTTCGGGGGGCTTTGCGGAGGAAGGGCAGCAGCGACGGCAAAGGAGTGGACGTAGCAAAGATTGGAGGAGATTTGACCTAATGTGGGCTTTTGGGCTTTTAACAGGCTAACCTGAAGGCCGAAACTTGTTGTTGTGAATAGTAGTTAGGATGGTGAGTGGACTCATCCATCAAGCTTGAAGATGAGTGCAAAGATTTGATTAAAAACCTTTCGGATCCGGCATTGGTAGGATGAATTTAAATTATTTAAAAATAAAATATCTAAAATATCCTTAAATTTTTATTCCAATTATGACGTCATTTAAAAATAACGACATTAAATAGAATTTCAACTTCACTATTCTAACAATAAAATGATAGTCAACTAAGGAAAATTAACTGAAATTTTTTGAGCTTTACAAATACATATACCTTCAAAAAAATATATCAAAATCACCAACTTCAGAGATATATAATTTTGCTAAGTGAAAAGTCAATGTTTTATATATAGTTTAAAGGGAATTTAAACAAACTAATAACCCTTAAACCATTGATTTGATACTCTTGAAATTTTGGGCCAATAGGTGACACCCTCACATGGTTAGATGTCTAAAAGAACTCCTAACACATGCATTTGCAATCCTATGAACTGGTTCTGAATAGTTTTAAGATATCATAAGTTCATATTCATATTGTTTATTACATATTTGGAATACTATTGATTCATTCACATGGGAAGATGCAAATTGACAAATTATATAGTGACCATCAATCACTGACAGAGACGTACCATTATATAGTGATCGTTTTGTCTGCTACTCATAATCTATGTTGTCCACTTGCATTACTCTTTGCACTTGTCGGATCAAGGTAAACATAATCATAAAGACTGGAAGAAAGATAGCCACAAGTTGGTCAACATCTAGGAGGAGGAGGAGAGGAAGAGGCACAGTTCATGGCGAAGCCATGGCAAGGAAATCCCCTGTCTCTTCTTCTTCTTCCATCACAAGTTGTTCTAGCTCTACTGCTACTACTCCTTTCCTTAAGGAGTGCAGTTGAATCCAAATGTGTGCTCTTCAACTTTGGCGACTCGAATTCCGACACCGGAGGCTTCGCCGCCGGCCTCGGCTTCTACCTCGGCCCACCGTCCGGCCGGCAGTTCTTCCACAAGACGACCGGCCGTTTCAGTGACGGCCGCCTGTACGTCGACTTCATCTGTATGCATCGCCGCAGCCTTTCATGTGGTTCGCTGGTATTACACTTGTATATCCTAATCTTACCTCATTGTATTTAGGTGAGGGGTTGAAGATGAGCTACTTGAGCCATTACTTGGAGTCCTCGGGCTCAAACTTTTCTCATGGAGTAAACTTCGCAGTAGTTGGAGCAGCAGTCGATCTGCCTGGAAATCCCTTCCCTTTATCAACTCAGGTGCTTCAGTTCCTTCACTTCAAAAACCGCACCCGTGAGCTCATGACAGAAGGTACTGTTGCAGTCTACTGAAACGCTGCTTTATGCTTTGATTGAGAGAAAAGAACGTGATGAGTTGTTACTGCATCCTTATGTCAGATTATGTCAAACAACAAATGCAGGCTCAGGATCTTTAGTCACTGAGAAAGAGTTTAAGCATGCAGTTTATAGCATTGACATAGGCCAGAATGATCTTGCCAAGGCCTTCTATTTGAACTTGAGCTACCCACAGGTCCTCCTCAAAATCCCAACCATGCTAAACAAGATCGAAGATGCCATTAAGGTACTCAAAGTTATATTTCCTTTACGTCTCAGAAAGAAATCTAGTGAAACTGGAGATCAAAACACTGCATGTAAATCTGCAGTCTATGTTCGAAAACGGAGGTAGGAAGTTTTGGATCTACAACACTGGGCCTCTCGGCTGTTTACCTCAGACGCTTGCATTGCATAGAAAGAACGACAGCCAGCTGGATGCATTCGGATGCCTCTCGGCTTATAACGATGCGGCTAAAGCCTACAATTACGGACTGAGCGACCTCTGTGAGAAGATGAGACAGGAGTTGAAGAACGCAGTCATCGTCTACGTGGACATGTTCTCCATCAAGTACGATCTCATAGCCAACCACACGCAGTACAGTAAGTTCTACTCCACGAAGTGTCACATTTAATGCATGGAAGCACGAACTGGGAAAATGAACATCTCCTTCTTCGATGCGAGCAGGCATCGAGAAGCCATTGATGGCCTGCTGCGGCCATGGCGGTCCGCCGTACAACTACAAGGAGAGGATGACCTGCGGCCAACCTACGGCGACGGCTTGCCCGGAGGGATCCCGGTATGTGAGCTGGGATGGAGTCCATTATACTGAAACTGCTAATGGCATTATCGCTTCCAAAATACTGTCCGCGAAGTACTCGCAGCCACAGACCGATCTGAGAAGCCTCTGTGAAGAACAAACAACAGATTAAATTCAGATGATAAGCAGTACTTTTTTGTTGAAGATTTAGTAGATGGCTACTTGGATTTTGTTTTGCTCTCTCATGTGCTATGACAATGGTCAAATAAGCTACACATTGGCTTTAGCTGTGTACTGAACTTGTCCATGCTACTTCTTGTTTTCCTTTCTTTTAAAGAGACAGATGGACACTTCCTGCAGCATTGTCACATTGTCATACGAGAAAGATAAAGTACCAACTACAAAAGTTGATCAAATGAATAATAATAATAATATAGATTTAAAATTTATTTATATTATATTATACTATATTTGAAAGAAGGTCATGATAAAAGTAAATAGGGAATGATAAATTTATATTTCTTAGGTCCTTTAATCCTTAATAAATTTATGATTTAAGAATCGATCATAGATTTAAGTATACAATTTAAATACATAATTTGAGTGCAAAGAAAAATCTCTCCTTTAAAAATTATATAATTATATTTTACTCAATGAATGATAATATTCCTTTCATAATAAATTCTTTAAAATCTTCATGATATCAGAGCTCTCATGCTTCAAGTAAAACTTTATCTTTCTCACTTTTGTTCTCGTATTCTAAGTCTTTTATTTACTTTAATAAAAATAATATAAGAGAAAATTACTATTGCTAATTATATTCAAAAT